ATCGGGTCAGTATACGGACCTTGTCGCTCGTGCGGTAGTGCTTAGAGAGAAAATAAAAGAAAGAAAAAACTTTGCTCATGTCAAGAGTACAAACGAAGTAAGGATTGGTCCATCTTGAATTCAGCAGGTATCCTTAGACAAACTACAATTTGGGATTAAGTAGCTGGGGCACTGCTCATCAAGCATAGCTCTCTATCCCGTCTGACAAACCCTGCTGAAAGCAAGAACCACGACGTTTAGGGTACCAGTCCTATGTACAGAAAGACAGAAGGTAGAAAAGCTAATATTTTGTCTGATGATGATAAAGTACTACGAGAAGTACTGTTCTGTACAGGAGGTCATGGTAAGAGTGCCGTAAGTCATGAATTTGCACGTGACCCTACACCTGCTGTTGTTGGCTCTCAAGGTAGATAGGTACTAATAAAGTGGGTCTGTTCGTCTAACGGAATGGAAAAACTTTATCAAGCAGGAGCTAGTTCTTGCACACGTTTTATTCCTTTGGAAGAAAATCATCCTTCTCTTACCTTTGGATACAACTTCTCAATGACATTAAGTTGAAATTCTTCACAAAAAACTGCCACTATTCTGTGATATGTAAACTGTGATTCTTCTAATAATACAGTCAGGCATTGGGAGCCAATTTACAATTCTACTCACTAACATGGATCGTTTCTGGTCTGCTCCTCCTGTCACGAGGTACACCTCTGCCGCCTTGAAGTGATTATTTTGAGGGATCCTATCTAACGCTCGATGACAGGACGCTTACTGCTCTGACATTTGCTCAATCAGCTCTGGTTTATGGTGGCCTGCTGCGCGGCTATTATGTTGTGTTCATTCCGCGGCTGATTTTCAGGCTTCCGCCTCAGTTATGGAGATTGTTTTCACCTTTCCTTCTGACAGGATCGGGTCTTTCCTTCATATTCGATCTTTACTTTAGTACGACTTCATGTCGGACTGGTCCTTAGCCACGCTAACCTGCCATTAGTGTATACCTATGGCAGCGCACTTGAGACAGGCTCACCCCGTTTCAGTTCGCCTGGTGACTTCTTCACCTACGTTTTATTCGTAGCCTTTGTTATCATGGTAAGTCTAGAGGACGAGTATCGGATGGGTCATCGTCCGATAGAAAAACCACCACACTTCCTCAACGTTTCCTCGTCTCTGCAAACCTTTTCTTTGAACCTAGCATAGTCACCTCGCATTATCTGCCCGCCCAGCCTCAACTAGCTGAAGCGGTTCCTGGAAGCGAGGAAGATCACCCCTGCATCCCATACAGCGCCTCTCTCATTGATCCTATAGGGCTGTATGCGTTGTGGGTATGGTGGGAAGACCACTGAGATAGCCATCGTGATTAAATAGTATCACGTTGGTGGTTATGGTGCCCTACATTCCATATACTCTTCCATCTGTAATGTGAATCATGAATTGTTATACTCTCCTGAAACCTGTTCCAATTTCTACCTTTGAAGTAGCCTTGATCAAGTACACAATGCTGATGAATCGAAGGTCACCGCAGGTTACTTCTTAAGTGGCGTAATCTTCACCTCGGGTGAGCCTAACCTGGCGAATTGTGTTTTCACCCATGCTAACGTGCGACAGCTCTGATCCTAGCATTTGTGTATACCTTTGCACAGGACAATCGGGGGAAAAGAGCAACCTTTATTATCATCCAGATACCCATCGAATACTTACCCTGGGCGATGCTCGTGCTCACCCTGGTCATGGCCGGGTGGCCCGCTGCATTGAGCGAGGGCATGGGAATCATCGCTGCCCACTTGTATGATTTCCTCACACGTCTTTATCCAACCTTCGGTGGAGGAAGAAACTACCTCACCACGCCGGCTTTTGTAAAGAGATTTTTCGCCGCCTACGCCCCTAGAGGTGAATACCGGACCTATGGAACAGCCTATCGGCCAGCGGGCCAAAACCCCCCTTCCTCGTCAAGTGGCTGGGCTTCATCCTTTCAGAGCTCATGGGGTGGAAGAGGGCCGGGGCGGAGACTTGGTGGTAGCTAATTTGTCAGGAAACAGATCCTAGAGTCCGAGGCTCTACTGTTTACTTTCTATCATTTTCTTTCCCGATGCTGTCGGATACTGCATAGTACTGTGGCTGGCCGCTTCCTTGTTTTAACAAGTATCACCTCCGCTTTATCCTTGAGATCGAGAAGTGTCGTTTCATTTCATAATCCAGTACATCATGACGTTGAGAACACAGAAAGTTATAAAATGTAGACGCAGGACCCCGACAGTCTCTTGTATAAGCGAGAGTAGCCTTTGACGGTGTTAGCTATTTATGCAGCGCACCGCTCTGCAGAGACTAAGGCAAACCGAAGTCCGAGAAAGACATGATGTGGATTACTTTCACGAAAAGTCACGGGACTATCGGCCTGATTCTGAGCTTCCTGACGCTAACCTCTTTGGTAGTTAGTCCTTTCGCCGCACTTCAAAATTTCCCAAAAGTTTCTTTTCTCACTAGCGCCAGAGCAAAACCTTGGTGGAGTCTGTGCAATTTTTCCTGCGCTTCTCACCAAAACGCGCCCTCGCCTGGTGACATTGAACACTTGAAGCCAAATTTCAAGATGGCAGTTTCAGTGGCTAAGGAAGAGATGGACTACACCATCAAGCCTGAGGCTGGTGCCTCCAACATCTCCACAGAAGAGTGGCCCTTGCTGCTAAAGAATTATGACAAGCGTACGTGAATACTTGATCAAATTCATGGCTCTTCGCTCTGCATGATGGCAGGGTTATGTTATGTAAAGTAGCTTGAACTGATTTTATCCCAGTCATGGTGAGGACCGGTCATTTCACACCAATTCCCGCTGGTTGCTCGCCTCTCAAGCGTGACCTGAAGTCCTACATCAGTTCAGGTGTGATCAACCTTGACAAGCCTTCCAATCCATCTAGTCACGAGGTTGTCGCTTGGATGAAGAGAATCTTGAGGTAAATTGTAATCTTTCTGCGCTGATATTCGGAACCAGATGCTAAGACCATGGCGTGTTATGCAGGGCGGAGAAGACTGGTCACAGTGGGACTCTTGACCCTAAGGTCACCGGTTGCTTGATCGTCTGTATTGACCGTGCCACCCGCTTGGTCAAGTCCCAACAAGGTGCCGGAAAGGAGTACGTCTGCGTCATTCGTCTCCATGACAAGATTCCCGGTGGTGAGGCTCAGTTCAAGAGAGCTCTTGAGACCTTGACTGGCGCTCTCTTCCAGCGGCCTCCTCTGATCTCTGCTGTCAAGCGTCAGCTTCGTATCAGAACGATCCACGAAAGCAAACTCTACGAGTTCGACAACGATAGACACCTTGGCGTGTTCTGGGTCAGCTGCGAGGCTGGAACTTATATTCGGACTCTTTGCGTTCACCTGGGTCTTTTGCTTGGTGTCGGTGCTCACATGCAGGAACTTCGGCGTGTACGAAGTGGAGCTATGGACGAGAACAATGGCCTCGTGACTCTTCATGACGTCCTGGATGCGCAGTGGATGTACGATAACCAGCGGGACGAGTCTTACCTGCGCAGGGTCATCCGACCTCTCGAGTCTCTTCTCACAACCTACAAGCGTATTGTCGTTAAAGACAGCGCCGTCAATGCTGTGTGCTATGGCGCAAAGCTGATGATTCCTGGTCTCCTGCGCTTTGGTAAGTTCTGTTTACTCTTGGTGATGTCGATTTCCACGTGGTTGCTGACCGAGTTCCAGAGGCTGGCATTGATGTCAACGAAGAAGTTGTTCTCATGACTACAAAGGGTGAAGCTATCGCCATTGGTATCGCTCAAATGTCTACTGTTGAACTTTCGACCTGCGATCATGGAGTCGTAGCTAAGGTCAAACGTTGCATCATGGAGCGTGATCTCTACCCTCGCAGATGGGGCCTGGGCCCTGTAGCTCTGGAGAAGAAAAAGCTCAAGTCAGCTGGAAAACTGGATGTAAGTTGCTGGGTTTTGCCTTCCAACATAGGTTCTTGTGGTTTTTGTACGCTGACCAGTCCTCAAGAAATATGGCCGAGCAAATGAGGATACCCCCGCCAAATGGAAGACCGAATACAAGGATTACAGCGCCCCCGAAGAAGCTTCCGCTCAGGCAGCACCTGAATCGACAGCTAAAGCAGACATGGCTGCTGCCCCAACTACCGAACAGGACGAGGCGCCATCTTCACCCCAGTCCAAGATGGATGTCGATGAAACCACGGAAGAGAAGAAACGCAAGAGGCATGAGGGCGAAACACCAGAGGAACGTGCAGAGCGCAAGCGCAAGAAGAAGGAGAAGAAGGAAAAGAAGGAACGGAGGAAATCCAAGCAGGAGAAGGAGGACAGTGATGACAGTGACTAGACTGGTACCTTATTACCTTGCTCGGATACCGGGCTTCCATGGTTGGAGGACTTCGTTGCTGCTGTGTATTTGCTTCTCGAACTGTCATACGGGCACCCTGTCTGTACCTTATTTTGTTTATTGTTTATCGGAGTCTTGGGTTGAAAAGGGAACCAATGTTAATGTTAGTCTTTCTTGTATCATTTACAACGACTGCTCCCATGTCAGCAATCATAGAAAGAGCCTTCACTGCATCTCTCTTTCGTATGAGTATTCGGTAATTGTAATATGTTTCAACCGACGTCAATATCCAGGTAGCGTCTATGATTGCGGTATTCCTGGATTACCAGTGTTCAGCTATCTACATAAAAATTGTATCACTTATCTCCTCTTACTAGCGTTCGACGAAAGTACTTGCGTTTATCTAAGTTGGTTGTTGGAAGGGCCTTTCAGTGCCGTGACTCGTGACCTTTTCGCCGATATTCTCCGCACCAAGTCCGACAAGCCGATTATTCCCCCCGCCGCCCGTCCCACCCTGCTACATGGATGCCATCCTATGCTGCGTCACAACGTCTTCCTCTCTCTCTGTTATCTCACCCTAATCATCGGCCTGTTCTCCACCCACGCGATCTGCTTCTTTCCGGCTAAACGTGAAAGAAGTATCGAATACGACCAGGTGCAGACCATCCGGACATCATGGCTGCAGAGCTCACGTCAACGAAGCTCAATGCGGAGAATCATCTGCTCCTGGTAATTCCCACCACTGCCCCTGCCTATACCGCTGTACTGATGTCGGCATCTTGTGGTCGTGTAGGATCAGCCTCTTCTACGATTACCTCACGAGCTTGCGCGGAGAAACTTCAAATCTGTTCAACGACTTGTCGAGAGGGAAAAGGAATATGTCATTCCCGCACTCAAAGACGCCGCCAATGTCTCCCTGTCGAATGGTCAGACCCCGGATCAAACTCTCGCGGCTCTCGACTCTATGTTGGCTCGCATGCAAAACCTGAAACGGAAAATGGAAAGTATCCAGCAAGAGGAGAAGAAAATCCAAAACCAGTCACGAAAACGTATACAGCACCTGGAGCATCTGCACCAAATTCCTAGCTTAGCAGATGTCAAATATGACCAGTGGTCCAGGATCAGGCTGGATAGACTGGTGGTTGATCACATGCTGCGTTCCGGGTACACTGAGAGTGCTCAGCAGTTGGCCCAGGAGAAGGGAATTGAAGACCTAGTTGATCTTGATGTCTTCGTACAGTGCCAAAGGATTGCTCAGAGCTTGCGCCGTGGGGAAACAAAGGAGGCTTTGCAATGGTGTAACGAGAACAAAGCGGCGTTGAAGAAGAGCCAGGTATGTGGAGTACACATGAACATAGCCGTGTCTCGAATCCAGTCTCATTCACTAACACACCTGACACAGTTCAATCTGGAGTTTGAATTACGCCTGCAGCAGTATATCGAAATGATCAGGACAGGGGATAGAGGGAAGCTCATGGACGCTATGGCACATGCCAAAAGATATCTCACTCCGTATACCGAAACGCAATCAAAAGAAATCCATCGAGCAGCGGGACTACTCGCCTTCCCTCAGAACACTAAGGCTGAACCGTACAAGGTACATCCGTCTAATTTTTGTCTTCAGGTCCACCCGTTGTGCCTGAAAATTTCAGCTGACGGATTTTTAGTCAATGTACTCATTCGACCGATGGAATTACCTGTCTGACCTCTTCATCCGCACTCATCATGAACTTCTATCGTTGCCTTCAAGCCCATTATTACATATTGCATTGTCTGCTGGCTTATCGGCCCTCAAGACTCCATCTTGCCATTCGGCATATACCTCCTCGAGTTCCAACTCTTTATCTACCGCGACATCCGTATGTCCCATATGCTCGACTGAGCTGAATGAACTTGCGCGTAATATGCCGTACGCCCATCATGCTAAGAGCTATGTTGAGAGTGACCCGATTGTCTTGCCAAATGGTAGAATATACGGTCAGCAGCGGTTACTAGGCATGAACAAGAAACTTGGCTGTGTTGAAACAGGCAAGGTGAAAGATCCCACCACCAGCGAGATCTTCGACGAGAGTGAGATGAAAAAGGTTTACATAATGTAGCTGTGGAGGTATCCAAAATATCCAGGTTGCTGCATGTTTTCCTATTCTCTCTTGGTTTGTGTATTATTACTCAGAAGGCACTGGAGAGACGAAGTACGAGAACAAAATTCTCAACAGCCTAGTCGCTATCGTCAGTATCGGACGAGTCCCTTGACCTTTTCTTATTCTTTTCCCTTCGTGTCCAACCTAGCAGCCTGCGGATTCTTCGGCGGGGCAACTTGATCTTCTTGCCTGACCTCGAAGACATACATTCTCGCCTCGCGGTCTTCTCCCCTCCAGCCCCCTCTTCCCCCATGCTTTCCTTCGATCTCGCCGAGGGTTCGAGCGTGGGAGTATCCCTGGTAAGAGCTCCACGGAAATCTAAAACTCGTGACCACCCGCAAACCGGCGTGCCGTGCAAGATCCTTGATATTCCATAGGGTGTAAGGCTCGCCTTCAAACATGGTCACTAAAATTTGTCCTGGGTCGGTCCTGTATCTAACTCGCCGTCCATGGGCGAGGATATCCTGATCATCCTGCTCGCCCGAGTCTGATTCACTGTCTTCACTTGAGCTCCAGTTGTCGTCCCCCTCGTCTTCATCATCGCCGTTCAAGACTTGCGGACGGGCCGACAACAGTGGCACGCAGACCTTGAAAAAGGCGACAAGTAATTCCTGGTTTGAGCGGACCTGTCGATTCACGTCCGTTGATAGGCCACCGACGTGTGGGAAGTTGAAACATATGATATCCCAAGGACCGCCTGTAGTGGTTGCTGGCTCGATCTGCTGCCTGTTTTTCTGCCAAGCAGGACGTTTGCGCTCGCGGCGTGCGAAGCCTGTGCGGACATCCTTCCCACCTCCGGCGGAAGACCCGAGTTTTCGCGCATCAACTGCGAAGAGTACGTTTGGACCGCGACGCTTGCAGTCTTGTTTCTTTTCTTCGCCTTTCTTTTTTTCCTGCGTGCTTTTATTCTCTGGCTCGGATCCATCAGGATCATTCCGTTTTTCTTTATTAGAGAACGAGCTAAGAAGATCCTCGACATGCTGTTTAGCTTGTGGATATTTGCTGTATAGCACCTCTTCTGAGTCGTAGCATGTAGCCAGGATATTCCTGCAACGGTGCTGCACTGCTAGAGAGCGAGCAAATGAGAAATCTCCTAGTAAACATTTCATCAGACTATTTGAAATCCAGGAATTCCGGTACCTGAAGCGCAAAACACAGGGCTCAGCCGAGCCAACAGCATGTGCACACGAAAGGAAAAGCACAGAATAACTCCAGGTCGGGTCAATGTCAATACAGATCGCTAGTATACCATAACTTCAACAAAACCAACACGACGAGTGCCCTCGCATATTAACACATGCTGAAACATCGACGCTCGCCTCACTCTGTCGGGACAGGCACATGAGACAAATGTAAATAGGGAGAACAACGCTGACTGAAGGGCTCTGGACGCTCCACGTATTCGAGAAAGAAAAACATCAAGAAAAGACGTAAATCTTGAAAAGCAGTAGCGAAGTATGAAGAAGAGGAAGCGCTCACCCTCACCCACAAGTAGGATACGATCTCTCCGCCCGAATGGGACAATAGGCCGTCGATGTTGGGCCGGATTCTTCTTCTTCTCCGCTGAACCATAGTTGCTAATGCCACTCTTCTGCGCCTTGGATGCCGAAGATGGCCCCGCGGATGTAGATAATCTCGAAAACATGTGCATTTTCCGGGTTCCTCTTAAGCCAGGCCCATCACCGCGCTGGGGCCCGTGGGCTCGGGCTTTTTTCGATCTGGGCATGTCTCTTAAGACATAAACTCGAGTCCTTTAGGTCCTGTCGTCTTCAGGATGGATCTAAACAAAGATAGAATTGAGAACTGAAACGGTTCTCTGGACTAACTGGATAACTGGCCCCTCTAGTGACTACTTCCCCATCAACGTAGGGCTCATGTCTGCGAAAAAGAAAGGGTAAAAGAAAAGAAAAAAGAAATATTAGTTCCAAACCTGCGCGCGGGCCAATTCATTCCCCGAGATCAATGGATTTCTTGAATTGGTTCATCAGGTAGATACGGAACAGAGAATAACTGACCTGCTCATTTCGTAGGTTACGGTTTTGTTATATCCTGAATTGATGTCTATTCTGTATTTTTAACTCCCTAGCAATTTCGACATAGAACGGCCCATGCCATCCAAACCCGCTCTATAACCATATTAAAAAGAAGTACAAGGTTGTTATATACATCACACTGTCAAATAAAAAGAAAATCCACTGTCTTCAAGCTATGATCTGTCTGCAGTCTCAACGTCGCGAAAAATGGCATGCATATGAGCAGGTAGTATCAATTAAGACGCGGAGGGTGAAATGAAAGCCGTGACCAAAAATTCGTGATTTGGAACAAAATCTTAACAGAAAGAGGAGACCTTTCCATCAAACCGAATGCGATGAGGGCAAGGCGAGGTTCCTAGGAAGCAGATCAACCCACAAAGGCCAAAAGCAACAACGAATTGACCGAAACGCGGACAACTACGTCTGAAGGGGAGGAGGATAGGTACATATCACGTTCATGTTAGGGGCGAGACCGCATTCGTTTCGGGGAGCTGATTCGAACTGATAACAAGGGCGTCCGTCGTCCATGATAAGGCGCACATCGACTTCTCGCTAAACCTTCACTTCATGGTGGAGTGATTCAGGAGCGCAGAGAGTCTCTCATGCTCTGGCTGCTAGCACTGACAGGGGGGTTCGACATTGGCAGCACACCAGTCTTTGGCTTGGCACTTTGCTTGATCTTGGCAACGGCGTAAACAAGTCCACTGATGAAACCGACAACAATGGCAGAAACGCTGGGGAATGTGACGGGGGCATCGAAGAAGATCAAGCCGGAGAGTGCGATGGGCAGCTTGTTCAGAGCGCCGACCATGGAATAGGTTGTCGACGAGGTCACGCGGACACACCAAGCGGAGGTATAGGAGATGAACACGGACGAGAGACCCGAGAGAATCATGGCAAATAAGATGCCGTTGCGATCGGCCGGGGGGAAATTGCGCGCGATGTTTGCCGACGACCAGTCCTCGATCAAGAAGGTGAGAACCAGAAGCACGGGGATTGACAGAAGGTTGTTGTAGAACATGGCTAAATGAGGCAGAATGTTAGACGAKAGCTCCAATAATTTGTGGCACAGACATAGAAACAAGAAGGGACATACTGTCAAAATCCTTGAAGTTAGTCAGCTTGATTCGCTTGCGCATTCCCAGGACGTATGACGAAGTGCAGAGACAGTTGATCAACATCCAGATATAACCAGCATTGAGAGTCGACACCTTGGCAGTAGCGTCTCCACTACTTTCAACTGCATGCTTGATATCGGCCCACGCGGCGATGATGGAACTGAGGACCATGAGTCCAAAGGAGAAGAGGGTCATGCCTGTCACCGAACCGCCAAACCAAAGCACCTCTCCGTAGGCGATCAAGATAATGGTCAGATTCTTGAAGATGGTGTACACAGGGATCGACAGATATTGCAGTGCCTTGGAGCCCGTGTAGATCATGCCAATCAGAAGCAGAGTGATGGGAAACCCTGGAGAGAAAGAAGACTTGTCAGATTGCTTTGCTTGACGATACCCAATGACAGAATGGGATGCTTACACTTCTTGGCCTCATCCGAATTGAAGTCGCGATATGTAATCAGATTGCTAGCCTTGCATGTTTGAATCGCCACAATACAGACAATAGACTGGAGTGAAAAGATGTGGTCAGCTCAGGCTTGGTGACATCTATGCCCCGGCAAATCTGACCAACTTACCTGCACGCAAAGGAGGAAGAAATTGAGATTGAAATCCGTGCCGGAAAGCACATATTTGTTCATGACAGTCATCAAAATAGACGAACCGCAATAAGCCAGCACGGGCAGGATGGGACTATTGGCAAGCTGCGCAGCTGGAGGACCTCTGGGTTGAACAGCAGGGGGCGGCGCCTCGAAATTCTTATTGCCGTGATCTAGCTTATCCATCTCGATGGTATACTCATTCGTTTTCTTGTCGTCCGCCATGGTGTGAGACTGAGAATCGGATTCGAAGACCGAGGGAACAAGAAGGAAATATCCAGACGAAATCGAGGAACGAAGGGGAGAATGCTTCAGTGGCACAAACAACTGCCGATGAGTCGGATTCGTGTGGGAAAAAAGGTAAGATGAATACAGAATGAATGTGAGAAGCAATAAATGATAAGACAATATATTATATAGGGAAGAGCCTTGCTTCCTTGTCCACTTCCTTATGTTCCTCCTATTTGAATGAGGTATGTAAGGAAAGGGGGGTTGGTGGGAAATAAGCAGAAGTTGATAAGATGAGAATGGTGTATGGAAGAATTATAATCAATCTAATGTTATTATTTTCATTACGGAGGTATCACCGTTGCTATTTTTTTATTTATTATGAATAATAATGAAGAAAATTTTCTGCCTGACGATCTAGGCCGCCGCCCTGGAAGCGGCAATCCAGGGAAGGGACCTTGGATACGGAGTACAGGTAATTTACCTGATAATTACATACAACACGAATTACAGTGTGTCCAATACCAATGTAGGTACCTTACCTAACCCATCGTTGATGCACAAAGACCTAAGCCATGGATAGAAATACTGGAGCACTCTTGAGATTACTGACAAGGTGCATATTCCACCAACACTGATGGACGAGGTTAATTTCGATGATAGGGTTGAAGGTGAAATTTTATGTTGAGATGTTTCTCTTATCTGAAGCAGTAGGAGCTCGACCTCCGTATTGATCGTTATCGTTTTATCTCCACTGTGCCCTTAACTTTACAATGACAATTGTCTGCTTTTATCAACCAATCCCTTGGAGCTCTCAAGGCCTTTCGAATTATGAAGTCGTCTGTCTCCTGAGCGTCTTCTTCTAGAACCTCATTCGACTAATAAGTCCAGAGAACAGACCTGCCAGCGCCATGAATCAAGATTCAGAGCAGAAGCACCCCGCTCGAGATCTAGACGATGATAATGACGACGATACCCTGTTC